GAGGGGAAGGGGAAGGTGTGGGGAGAAAGAGGAAACCGATCACAATGATCTACCTATAACCCCCTTCCAGGGGGATGGACAACAGAAAAGTGCGTGAAGGGAGACAGCGGTCAGTGTAAGACATGAAAAAATAATAATAACTTATAAATTACCAAAGGTTCGTGAGGAAGAAAGAGTGGGGAAGGGGGTGGGGGATGAGGAGCTGATACCAAGGGCTGAAGTAGAAAGAACATGTTTTGAAAATGATGATGGCAACAAATGTACAAATGTGCTTGACACAATGGATGGGTGGATGGATGGTGATAAGAGCTATGGGATCCCCCAATAAAATGATTTTAAAAACAAAATAAGATCTGCCGGAGAGGAAGAGGATTCAGGGGCTACAGGGAAGGCGCCCACTCACTTCTCAGCACACCCCCCACACACACACAGGCTGGGGCATCCCACCCACTGGCATCTCTCCAGGGAACAGAGACTAGAGGGCTGGATGTCTCCTGAGCACCTACAGCACACCTGGCTCTTTCCTCCCATGACCTCTCAGGATCCTGACTCGTACCACCTGGAGCAAAGGGAGGCCCAGAGGGATGGCAGGTGTTGCCTGGGGCCACACAGCTCTCAGGTGAGGCTAGACTTTGGACTCAGCTAAGACGTAATGATCTTCATCCACGTCTCCTTTAACTTAACGAAAATAGGCAGGAACCCCTCTGGTGGTTGTCAAGTGGATTCTAACTCACAGTGGCCCACAAGGCAGAAAAGAGCTGCCTCACAGGGGTTCCTGGGCTGGGATCGTCCCCAGAGCCAACCACCAGGTCTTTCTCCTGAGTCACTTTCTCCAGTGGATGCCAACCACCAGCCTTTGGCTTGGCGCATGAGCACCCCCGAACCCCTTGAATCGATCCTACTAATACGTCTGTGATCATTCGCTTCGTCAGCCCTTCCTCTTAGCCCATCCCGATCTCTGCCAAAGATCGAAGCTGTCCTGGATTTCACCTCACCTGGCTCCACCCTCGATGATGCTCGTGGAAGCGGCAGTCGGGTAAATCTGCAGCCAGCCCAAGACGTCTTTCAGGGATCAAGCGAGCAAGGCGGTCGCTTTGAACACTGAGGTGCGCCTGAGCCGAGCCGTGGTATTTGCAATCGCCTCCCATGTGTGAAGTGGGACATTGAACGAGGAGGACAGAGGAAGGATGAGGGCATTTGGATCACGGTGCTGGCGACGAAGATGGAAAAATCTGGTGGATCGCCGAAAGAGTGAACAAACATATCGGTCTGGGAAGAAGTACAGCCAGAAGGCTCCCTGGGAACACAGACGCTGGACACGGCAGGAGAGGCCAGTCCCTAGAGAAGGGCATCATGCTTGCTAAAGCAGAGGGGCAGCGGAAAAGAGAATGACCCCCACCCAGATGGGCCGACACCGCGGCTGCCACAACGATCTCAAACGTCACAACTGTGAGGACGGTGCGGACCAGGTGGTGTGTCCAAGAGTCAGACGCGACACTTGGCGACCCGGCACCTCACCACGGCAATCTTGGACTTGGTGGGGGGAGGGGGGTCCTGGTGTCTCAATGGGTTAAATGTCAGGCTGCTAACAGAAAGACTGGTAGTTCGAACCTACTGGGCACTTGGAAGGAGAAAGATGAGGCAGTCTGTTTTCATAAAGACTTAGGACCCCGGAAGCCCCACGGGGCAGCTCGCCTCGGTCCTTCTGTCCTACCCGGTCACTATGAGTCGGAGTGGGGTTTGGGTGGGTTGTTTGCATTGTCTTCGCTCTGTGGTGTACACACAGGGAAAGTGAGGCACAGACAAGGGTGTGAACTGCCAACCCTGAATCCTGCCCTATTTTCGGAGCGTCGTCTGAAGTGCACATCCACCCTGGGCCCTTCTCAGGGTCCCCTCATCAGCTGCCACGGCAGCGCTCCTGGGCAGGGCACTATAATGCTCCCCGGTTTGCAGAGAACCCTGTGGATCCCAGGGGATCCCTGCAGTCACAGGCTGGGGAGTCGCTGAGCCAGTCCTTGGCCTGGGGTC